AGAAAGAAAGAAAGAAAGAAAGAAAGAAAGAAAGAAAGAAAGAAAGAAAGAAAGAAAGAAGGGGGAGGGAGGGAGGGAGGGAGGGAGGGAGGGAGGGAGGAAAGAAAGAAAAGAAAAGAAAAGAAAAGAAAAGAAAAGAAAAGAAAAGAAAGGTTATATAAGCTGGGTGCCAGTAGCTCATATCTATATATTAGTTACTCAGTCAGAGGAGGCTGAGATCTGAGGATCATGGATCAAAGCCAATCCAGGCAGGAAAGTCTGCAAGGCTCTTCTCTCCAATTAATCACCAAAAACTAAAAGTGCAGCTGTAGCTCAGGTGGTAGAACATTAGCTTTGAGCAAAAAAGCTCAGGGAGAGTACCCAAGCCTTGAATTCAAGACCTAGGACTGGCACATACACAAGTTATGTGAATGCCATCTCTCAAAATGTTTATGACATAGGTATGTAGACACTGTGACATGGTATTAGACTACTACAGTAGTTGAGGAAAGGGTTAAGGAGGGTGAATATGTTCAAAATATTTCACGGTTACATGTAATAATGAAACAATGTACCTTGTAACTGGAATGAGGTGGAAAAAGGGCAAGTGACAGGAGGTGAGTCTAATCAAGGTCCATGTTATGCATATATGGAAATGTCAAAATGAAACCCTCAACACAAAAATAGATTAATGTCTAGTTAGTATTCAAATTTATAAATTTGAATTTTATAAATCATTTTTCACAAGTTGTCCAAAGCTAGCTCAAATTGGATGTGATTGTCTAATACTTCTTTTCCAAATCACTCTAAGTTCCCTCTCACTTCTCTACAATGGATTATAGTGATCTACACACACCTCAATAGGTTGACTGGTCTTTTGCGTCTACAGCAGCTCCAAGTTCCTCTTTATTTTTTCTTATTTATGGAAGAAGTCAGGTATTTTATCCATTTTTTTTCTTCTTTTTTTTCATTGCTAAGAAATGAACCCAGGGCTTCACATGTGCCCTACCACTGGGCTAAATCTTATAGTTTCCCATATGTACTCTAAGCTACTAGGAAAATGGTTCTTGACAAGGAGTGATATAGAGGAAGAGGGAGAGGTAGAATGAGGAAAGGCAGAGGGAGGAGAGAAAGAGGCAGAAGCAGAGAGCAGAGGGCAGGAGCCAGAGGAAGAGGGAGAGAAGGGAGGAAAGGGAGAGGGAGGGAGGGGAGGGGGGAGGGAAGGAGGGAGAAGGAGAGAAAGAAGAAAGAATGGATGTATAGAGGGAGAGGAGAGGCAAAGGGAGGAAGGAGGAAGAATGAGGGAAGAGGGGAGAAACAGGGGAAAGGGGGAAGGGGGAAGGGGGAAGAGGGAAGGGGGAAGGGGAAAAGGGAAAGGGAAAGAGGAAAGGGTAGAGGGAGACAGACCTTGTCACAAATCTGTAAGTAAAATGTTTTCCATAGTCTGGACTTGGCCAACTATGCTCCTGTGCTTTTGTAGTTCACAGGTTTCTTAGGCAGAAATCAACTCTCTGTACCCAGAGGTTCAATCAAGCATAGATGTAAGAGTAAGAGTGAGGGAGCACATTTATCTACTTTACCATGATATCAAATATCTACTAATATGGAGCTGGGGATGTAGCTCAAGAGGTAGAGATCCTGCCTAGCAAGTTCAAACCCATATATAACACAATACTATGATGCGAAAGTTCATAAATACACAGTACCATCCATGATACATTTTCTCATACACACAATAAAAAATCTGAATCAAATCATGTGTTATATTTGCTTACACATTTAGAGGAATATAGAGGATGAAAAACACACTCAGTAACATCATAGGGATAATCAGCCATATCCAGATAGAATGCAAAAAATTCCATAGGACAAATGACCTAGATTTTTCCAGAAATAGGAAGGAAAAAAATAAAAAATAGGAAAATGTTACAGACTAAGAGACCAATTTTAACATATGAACCTCACTTGAATCTTGATTTCAACACACAAACTACAAAAAAGGGAGGATAGGTTTTAAGAAAATCTAAACAATGAATACTAGATGTTATAGAATAAAATTTTTAGGTATGACGTTGGTTAATGTGTTCTTTAGTGTCCTCATATTCTAGATACATGCTGAGGTAATTATGGATGCAACAGTGTCTGGAAATTGTTTTAAAATAGTCCAATGGTGGTGGCAAGGGATGGGGAGGTATAAAAAAATTAAACTGACCATATGTTGCTAACTACTGAGTGAGGAATGCCTGGCATTCTTTATATCATTCTTCTTATTTCAATATATGTTTGAAAGTTAACATAATTTTTTTTTAAAGATCAACCCCTCCCCTGGATATAACAATAAGGTATGGATTGGAAAGCATCAGAAACTACTTTGGAGGCTCTTGCATAAGTCTATGTGAGTTAAAAAGTGGCCTTCACTGGACATGGTACAACAGAAAAAATGAGAACACCTATCAACAAATATTTAGAAGGTAGAACCAACCAATAAGGTGGAAAGTAATTGGATATGTAAAGTGAGAAAGGGAGGAATCAAGTATGGGATTTCTGGTTGAGCATGTAGGCAGCACAGAGAACAGGCAGATAGAGGAAAAGGGGTTGGGGTTTGAAGTAACCTGTGGGACAGAGCATAGAGACACGGAGCTGAAGAGAGGGGAATGAAAGATGCTCAGGATGAAAGAATGCAAAGTAAGAGACTACCTGAGATAGAGCCCTGAGGAGCACTAAGGTCTATCTAATCACTGTACAGGAAGGAGCCTTTACTTCGTATATCTAGACATAAACACATGCAAGGGAAGGACAGAACCAACTCAGGTATAGGCAGAGAGACTGACTCACAGCTCACTCCTTTCCAGCCAGTCTTCATAGGCCCCCAGATAGGCTGACCCTTTTCTCAGGGTACATGGAAAGATATAGAAGCCTCCTGGGCTCCATGGTTGATCCTTACCTTGAGATCCTCACACAGGTCGCCATAGTCAATCTCAATGAGGGCCTCTCGTGCATAGATGTTGGAAGTTCTCTGGGATCCACTTACTGAATCCTCTCCCTGGGAGCCACCCTGCAATGGAAAGAGGGAGTCAAACGAAGCAGATTAGTGTCCCTTGAGGAGGAGAGCAGAAACTACCTACAGGCTTTAATGTCTTTGAGGAAGCACCTCTGTAGAATGCACTGAGACAAAAAGGAACAGAGCTTTTGCATGCAGAAAGCAGACTCTACCTCTTAATAACAAGATGATCCTGAGCAAGTCTTATGCTCAGATCCTCAGTTTCTTCATCTGGAACAAAGGGACAAGGCCCACTTGACAGGGCTACAATTATGAGTGGAATTGTGGCTCAGGTGGTAGAGTGCCAGCCTGGAGTGAAAGCCAAGGGAGAGCACACAGGCAGGTCTTGACCTCTAGCGCCAGTACTGGCACCCAAAAAAGAACTGGGGGGGGGGG